CATTTTTAATAAATATTTAATAAATTATTTAATTAAATTTTAAAATTTTAAATGATTTATTGAGCCAAAAAGCGTTCGGAGACTTTTGGCGGCCCTCTGTAGATCCGGTTAAAACCTCTATATCAGCTGAACGATAATTATTTCACGTCCGTTAAAATGTCGCAGCCATACAACTTTATGTAAAAAATTGGACACGCGCTAATACACTATAATTACAATAATTCTTAAAATTTACAACTAAGTATATTTTTTAAATGTAACATATTACGAATGGATTACAAAGTAAATATTTTTTATTTTGAAATAAACATAAGTGTTGATGATATCAAAAAATTACGTTGAATTACCTTTTATTAACTTGAAATACCTCATAATCATCTATTTGAAGCTGACCACATGGAACATCAATTTTAGAATAAAAAATTGGACTATAATGATTCCAGACTCCGTTATAATAAAAATCAGAATTACTATTAGAATAACCAAAAAATGGACCAAGATCGGAACGACAAAATACAGCATATTGAGCACTTTCATTCATAATATAACCTAATTTTGCAGTTTGAAGGTTTGCTCTATTTACGAATGAAAAAATAAAACTATCTTTGGTAGCTTTATTTCCATTTCCTTCCCAACTAAATGGACTATATCCTCCCATTATTTGTTCAGTTCCTTTAATTTTTACTACGACTATATTGGCACCTTTGTTATCACATTTTTGATGAAATTCTGCAATTGTATTACCATCCCTATTGGCACGATAAAGCAATTTAAAATCATAAAGCACCTTCCTTTTGACATTATTTTCTTTTTTATCAATCCAACCAGAAAATATAGCAAAATGTCGAGAGTTAACTATGATTGAATCACATTTTGACTGTCTAGGTGGATGTATATTAATATTTAATTCCATGTCTGGTGCCAAAGCATATGCTAAGACGTTAACAGCTAAATCATTCGGTAGTAAATCTCTAAAAGGAAATACTTTTTCAAGAAAGTCCCTTGAAGACATATGATTAAATCTAATTAAAGGGATATATCTATGAAGAGTTCTTTCCATAACTGTAGTTTCTTCATTGCTCCATTTTTTGACGTCCTTAGGAATAGACGGATTCTGAGCCAAGCCCCACTTAATTAGACTATCCCAAATATCAATTTCATCTAGACTTAAATCATCCCGTTTTAAAAGGAATTCCAATAAAGGTGCTTTTATATTGATAAATTTTTCAGAATTAAAAAGCTCTTCGGGGTCTTCACAAATTTTACCAAAATAAAAATTACGCAATTTCGTGAAGGTCTCTTGTTGATAAATCGTTTCAAGAATTTCTATAGAATGGTTTTGTAAAAACTCATGATGGTCTTTAATTAAATAATCTTCAATTTCGGGAACTAAGGATTGGAGATGAAGTTCACTTGCCGAGTTTAAGAGTTTTAATATTTCAGTTCCTTCTAAATTCGTCATGTCAATCCTTCCGCAATACATAAATCTGAAATTCAAAGGAATAAAATATTTATTATTGTCGAAATTGTCGTAGAAACTATTCACTATATTTACCTTAAGATAATTTTAAAAAGATGTGGAGGAATGTTGGTCATTTTTAAAATAAATTTCCCTTCCCTCTTCTCAACATTTTCTTTAGTTAATTTTTCATAAAAGTATTGCGACCTGAAACGTAAAATATTTGAATGTGCTTGTAATTCCTTAACGTCTTCATTTTCACCGGCATAAATAATGACATCATAACTTTTGTCATTTTCAAGCAATTTCTCATAATCATCTTGCAAACATTCTAAGGTCATTTTTACAGAAGTTCAAATTGAACAATAAAAAAAATAATCATTGAGAAAATTATATATTAATTTGGAATATTATATCACCGCTTTAGTTTTTCGTGTAATAAGATGATCACGCCTGATGCATTTGTCATATGAAAATCCAATTTCCTGCGCCCCTTTATAACTGATTCGGTATATATACCGTTCACGATATAAAAAAAAAAAAAAAAATAAAATAAAAATATATTTATTTATTTACTGTATCTTCAAAGTTCAATAGAATTATTACATTTTTAAAATTTTAAAGAGATTTTTTACGTTAAATTTTTATTAAAAAAAAATCAAATGAATCATAGTGATCGACAAACATGCATGGTAACAATTTCTTTACAAAGATTTTTAATTCCTATCAGAATTTTATTCAACTTGATATCGATACAAGAAATCCGTGAATTCAAATACTTTTATAAAAGAAAAATACAAAAATGATATTTGAATATCATACCGTATGAAAGCGATTGCAATGATTTAGACTACCTCAAATGTTTCACCGCTAATTTTATTTATTTATTTAATAATTTGTTTAAAATAGAGAAATTCAACGTAGAAATGCACGATAAAAACAAATAAAAAACCAATTGAAAATAAAAAAATCCTTACTGTTTATTTCCAATGTGGTCGCACCCAAAAAGGTGAGAATTTAAAGCAAAAAAAGAAATATCTTAAAAAATGATCATTCGATCGTTGCATCTTGAAGCAATCGAACCTGAAAAACAAATGAGTCAAAAATTCAAAAAAGAATATCTTTGACGAATGATTTTTTTCAAGGAAGTGATACATACTGATATAAGAGTATATTTCGAAAAATTAACAGGCAATAAAATGCAAAATTATTGCATAATTCACGAAAATATTAAAGTAATTAAAATACCAGATGATTTATTTTCGGAAAACTTCAGCAAACGGAGGAAATAGCAACCTTCATATCACAAAGTATATAATCGAATCGTTGTTTGATGAACCTGGCAAGCAATTTCCGAATAAGTGTTGATATGTAGAAGTTTGTGACCTGAGATTATTGAATTTGAAAAGCAAATTTGTGAATATATTGCTTTCCTACAATTTAGAGTGAGAGAAAAAACAACAAAAATATGTATAAAATATTTTGAGCTGTTTGTACGTAAAATACACTAGTTAGTGAAGAAATTCTAACAAGCCAGGTGTATAAATGGTTATAGTAATTATGAGTGGTTGACTTACCATCAAAGGTCCCTTCCTAGATCAACACTTTGGTGATAACTTAACAAAAATTTATGTCAAGGTTATTTGCTACGTTTGAGAATGTGGATAGACCAGAAAGTTATCACACCTTAGATGATGGTTTGAACCACTGTAAATGAGAATCCTATACTGGGTCAATTAAAAAGACAGTACTGGTTACGTTGTTTATTCCAGGTAGCTTAAATGGTTTACACACCACTATTATCAGCACATCTGAAATGTGTGCCAGGTTACACCGAATATGTATGCTAGAGTAAGAGGCACAGCATCTGTAATGGTCAATCAACCTGACTTTACTTACATACTGTCAGCAAAATTGACGATATTAAAAAAAAAAAAATAAACAAAAAAATAAACAAAAAAAAAATAAAAAATATAAACAAAAAAATTATTTTTCGTGTTTTTTTTTTTTCAATAAATTTTTGAAAGTTTTAACGATTCATTAGCTTTTATTTTCATTTATGTAATTACAATTTGTACTTTTTTTTTCTATATGCAAATAAAACGCGTAAATTAAAACTTCACAGTTATAAGAAAAAAAAAATATGTATCCAATAACTTCAATTTTCCAATTCCTTCAATTTGGATGATTGCTCAATATATTCTTGCATAAATTATGCTCTTTTTTGGTTGTTTTCCTCTTTTTCCGAACAGGAATAGCATGAGAATCAAAATTTTCTTTATCTTCATTTATAAGAACAGGTAACCTTTGTTTAGAACCACTACCCTCTGTTTTGCGTCTTTTAATTGATTCTACTTGAACCCTTATGTGTGCACCACTTTTGATACGAACCATTGGGTCTAGATCACGATTGAGATCGTAAAGAAATGAAGACAACCAGAGTACTGACTTTGATTTTGCAGCATTATACCAGTCTTTAAACTTGTTTAGCGTAGTTCGTAACGCTTGATCGGCATTTTGATAGTCCAATTTAACTTCATTTAAAAATGAAATAAACTCAGAAATGTCGAAATTTTCTATTTCTTCATTATTTCATTTGATTCTCTAGGTCCCCTACAAAGAATTTGTTAATAAAAATCATAAAATTCTAATTGACAAAAAAAAAAAACCTTACCTCCACTCAGTAGCTAAAACATTGCTCAATTCAGCATGTTGGCTTTGTATAATAGATTGTTGTGCATGTAATGATGCATAGAAAGATTTGTTTTCGGTAACATAACCTAAAAAAAAAACCATTATTATCTTATTCAATATATTGATGAAGATAAGTAATTATTACTACTTACCGAGTGCTATATATGCATAGGTTATACAATCATTTGACGTCAACGACGGAACAAAATTAAAATTTGAAAGATGATACTTCATTGATACTGCCCCTTGATGTTTACAGGGCGCACCGGTCATTCTAACAGGACAAGAACATACTCCAATCTCACTATTTATAATATAAAAAGTGTTTGCATCTTTTGTACTCGGTACCAAAAACTCATTATCCACACAAGTCTTTTGAATTGCATTCATATTTATTATTTTCCAGTTGGGACACAAGAATCGTTTGGCAATACGTAAATGTCCTATATGTCTATGTGCAATTTCAAGCACTCTCCTTTCATAAAACCTTTCCATAGTTGTAATTATAAATTGAAATATTTGTATTGGGTTGTAAGCTTTTGTCCTTGCAAAAATAATATCTTTCATTATACCGAAGCTTCGCTCTATGTAATTATTTGTATTGTTACCATGCATAGGTAAGTTTAAACGAAATAACAAAGCCAAAATTGGCAACGCTTCCACAAAAGCTCAAAATGACTCTGCAGTTGTGGGTGATTATAAAATTTCTGCTTAAATTCTTCATAATGTATTTCCATTTCTGAACCTGATAATGCATACAAAATTTTCCTTGTTTTTTCCATTATAGGCACCCAGTCTTCTTTATTAACTTTATGTTTTGAATCATATAACCACCTCCAAAATGCCTGAAGAAAATGAAAAGTACACAAAAGGCGAACCCCTGTGATGATTTGGAATATTAGCGTTAAATTATTAATATATTATTTAAATAAATGCTAATATATGTTAGTATTACCTTTTGGCTAACATAGTTCCAGTGCATTACGCTCTGCACTTGAATCGTCGGTTAAAATAACCATCAGTCCAATCTGAGGTCTGCGTCCAAAGAAAGCATATGGTAGAAGAATTGTTTTAAGTAGATTCATTGCTTCTCTAACGTGATTTCAAGTTCGTCTGAAGTAACAAATAAGCCAAGTGGAAGAGCTCCGACCGTGCAACTTGTATAAAGTAATGTAATCGAAGAATTGAGAGGATCAAATGATGCCAAAGCATCTACATAGCATAATTCGCCTTCTTGTAAGACCTTTTCGTGAACTCTACACATTAAACTTGTTATAATACAAAGGATAAAGGCTTTGCCAGCGTGTGCATCATATTCTTGTAAAACAGCTTTCCTTTGTCCCGAATCATTATAATCTTGAACCAATTCTGCTAATCGTTCAAACATTAATTTTCCGTTACTTCCTCCAAGAGAAACTTCATGATAGTTTTGGAAAAGTTTTGCGACATAATCATAACCCAGATTTTTGGCTCGATCTGCTAAAGTTTCCAATAATTCCTATTCATCCAAAGCATCAAGATGAAGATTATCTTCATAAATATGTAATGCTGAAGACGAAGAATGACCATCATTAAATAATTTTAAAAATTCTTCACAGACTTCGCTATCAACACGCTAAAAACTTAGTGACTCTGCTGCATTAA